AAAAATTATTACGCTGTTATTTCTATTGTAAAGAAAGTGCTTTTTAACATTTCTTATGAAAAACTGTAGCTACAATGTTTTCTTTTTTCCCAAGCCATCTTCGTGTACTCGTTCTGGATGTTTGGGTGTCGCGTTGTTTACCTCGGTTGTTTACCACTCGGCCAACAAAGCCTCATACATCACAATTGGACTTGCCAAAGCCTCGATCATAGTGACGCCTATTTATTATTCACTATTTACCCCGTGACAAGAGTCTCGGAGTACCGAAAAAATTTGATCTTAAATGTTGCCTTTAAACGTTCGCTTTTTTTTTTTGGATAGGTTCATGTCTTCTTGGCGTAGAACAGAGTTCTAGGCGGGATTTGGCAATAATTCAGGTTAGATTTATTATCATTAACAATGATTCCCTACGGTCACTCGTAGAGAATCCAGAGAAACGAATATTTAACGATGAATTATTTGACATGGCAAAATCTGCTCTTTCATGGTACCAAAGACACCTTTATTTATAAGAAATAAAACTACTATTTACATTTTTGCTTATAATAATTATCATAATTATCCTTCCTATATACCTTATATCACAATATAAGCATGACTAACCTATATCTGGGTTCCTGGTTCCCGTTATCACATGCCTGCCATTTTCGGCGAAACACCAGTGAGTATAAAGTTAATTGAATTTAAATTTAAGAGTCACTAAATAATTAATAATAAAACGATTTAAAAATTTTAAATATGTAAAATGTACACATTGCAATAAAAATAGCACGAGTGAAGCACGACTTCAGGCGTGTGATATTGATCTTGACATAATAATTCGAGGAATGAAAAAGTGGAAATAAAGAGATTGACGATTGCATAAAGAGTTTCAACTTAGAACTATTGAATACTGACGTATAATCGGATGGAATCTATTTTAGGCCAATTAATATTAAAAAAAAGAAAAATTGGCCGAGGATTTGGCTCAGTAATTTCTGCAACTTTATTGGACGGCATAAGAAAATTAAAAGAAATTATAATGGCGACGATAATGATGAATATGTAAGATCGCGTGAACCATCTAGTACCGTTGCGCTGGGGTGTTAAATGCACTATGTAAATCAAATATATGTATAGTCCCATAGGAAAAATAACTAGTAGATTTTTTTGTGTAACGAAGACGATGATTTATATTAAAGGATTAAAAATTTGATGAATTTTATTACATATTTATAATTTTTTTAAAAAAACGCTTCATTAGTTTAAAATATATAATCTGCTGAGCAAATGTGTAAAATTTCAAAGGAAGTTAATATATAAAATATTGCGAAGATATGATTTAAATTTTTTACTGATTTTATAAGAAACAGTTAGTTTCCAAACTGTATCTTCTCAATATTTTACATATTAATTTCTTTTGAAATTTTACATAATTGTTTAGCAGACCATTTATTTTAGAATAATGAAGCATTTTTTTTTAAATTTAAATTTATTCAACTCCAATAGTTTTAATAAATTTCAATATTAGTTACACAAATTAGTATTGACTTCGAATCTTAAGTGTTAAAACAAGAATTAAATTTTTAGTATATATATAATTTGATTTAATATATTAGCTTGTTGCGAATAAAAGAAAACTGCCTTTACTCATAACTATTATAATATACTATGATATTGCTTATTATTAATAAAGAAAACTGCTTTTACTTTATAGCTATTTTACTATGCTACAATGATTTTTGTTGACCCTTATTATTATTTACTAACCCTTTAATATAAATTTATTATTAATCTAGCGATTAGCTCTCTAATCAACCTATTTCATGAAAGATTGATTTGAATTTTTTTTAATAAAAAAAAAGCATTTTTAATCGTATATTCAAATAATAATTTGTGTGATAATAAAACAAATTCAACTTTATTTTGATATGATATTTTAAAAAAAATATCAGAATTATAAATTTAAATGAATACAAAATAAGCAAACAACACCTAAATATTTATTATTATATATAATTAATAACGATAACTACAACCAAAAAAAAAAACTGGTAATTCAAGATTATTTACTTATTTTATTAAAAGTTGAATCTAATTCAAGAGTTCCATATAATCGCTTAGTTCAATGACAATAAATTCAGTACCTTCTGGGGTCTGATTCATGTTGGAAGCAGTTATTTGATCATTTTTAGGTGCTATCTCAACTAATTCAGATGTATCTTTTTTTTCTAAAAGTTGTTTTCTATACTCTTTATACTTTTTATATATATTAAGTTCTTCTTTTTTTCTCTTTTCAAAATGAAGTTTTAATGATTTTTTTAAGTTATTTTTTGTGCGAGGATGTCTTGGTGGCATTTTGTAAAATATAAAGATGCGGATACTATGTGGATAATTGAATTAAAGCAAATTGGATATTTTTATATAGAAATATATAAAATAAATTTGATTCTAATAGACAAGTTGAAAACTCATAAGAATACAATAATAATTATTATTTCATGCACATTGATTATTAGAATATCGACCCATCTATTATTTTAAACTTCTTTTATTAAAACAACTATCAAATAAAATATACACTTTCAATCATAAAAACAAGTAGTATTATCTGATAAAAAATAGTAATCACGATTTAAGTATATATATACTTCAATGATATATTGATGCATAACATATAAATTCGATATAGTCAATTTCAAAAAAAAACAATAAAAACTCAAACAAAAGACCAATTACCAAACCTGTTATAGCAAAATTTTGATAATTTCATGTACACTAAAAATTAATTCAAACAAAAGCCAATTAACCAAAACTGTAATAGTTAGATTTTAATATCAAATTTATGTATATTAAAAATTGACTTGAACAAAAGCCAATTACCCAAACCATAATAGTTTGATTTTGATATTGAGTTCATGCATGACTTCTAAAAACTTAAACAAAAGCCAATTACTTAAAACTGTAATAGTTAGATTTTAACATCTCATGCATATTAAAAATTAACTTGAACAAAAGCCAATTACCCAAACCATAATGATTTGATTTTGATATCAAATTCATGTATAACTCCTAAAAACTTGAACAAAAGCCAATTACCCAAAACTATAATAGTTAGATTTTGATATCATAATGCTTATAATTAAAAAAACTTTATTTATACAAATAATTGTACACCTAAATTAATCTAAAATAGTACAGATCATTTTACTAACCTTACTTTGTTGTTGTTTATTCGTTATTTTTATTGAATGATTCGTTTATTGTTCCATTGGCTACTTAGTTATTGAATATTATAGCAAGTTTAAGTACTGATCAAAAAACAATATTATTATCTAAAAATGCATCTACTAAAGTTTTCTATTTAATTATATAGTTATAATATGATTTAACTTTTGTTCTAGTTATTCAGTTAATAAATTAATTACCTTATGATTAAATTACTATATGCATAAAATTCAAAAAGTGATAATTATTAAATATGAATTATAATTAAAAATTATTATATCTTGCCAATTATTCACCACTAAACAATTGTATAATTTTTAAATCAAGATTTTTTATATTTAAATCTGAGCCTTGTTAAACTATATAAAAGAACAATATTTTTTAAAACTGTAAAATTGTAATCATTAATCATAAAATTAAAAATAATTTAACATGCCAAAATTATCAAAACAAAAACAATATTTGAAAACTATCTTACAAGCACAACATGCTCATCAAGATCAACGAGATCAACAAAATGAGATTCAACAAATTCAAACCCTTATACCTCAAATTAATCCTGAATTTCTTCCAAAAATATATAATTTTATTATCAATATTGTAAATTATACAAAAGAAAAAAAGGTAATTGATACTATTCATAACATGCCAGAGCTACAAAAAAAAAATACATTAAAGTTAATTAAATTAATGCAATATTTAAAAAGAAAACATAAAAATGAAATTATCTCAGTTTATCTTCAAAGAAAGCCCTTGAATATATCATAGATAATTGTAAAAATCAAGTTAAATTTTTAAAAGCTGAGAATGAAAAACTAAAATTGGTAAACTGAAGACTATCAAGGAATAACCAAACTTTAATACATAAGGTTCAGTTTATAAGCACTTCAATTCGGCATATCAAAAATAAAGTAGAAAAATGAGTTTTAACTATTAGGTTATTAATATGCAAGCAAAAACTGATACCTTATGAAGAATTTAAGCATCAAATTAATATATTGTTTAAAACTAATAATAATAAATATTTGCTAAAAATAATTTGGCTTTCTACTAAAATATCACAAATCAGACAAATCTCATTAACTGCTACTATAGAATAATTGCATCTTGTTTATAAATTTTTGGTGAGTGAGTCTTCAAAAAAATAGTTATCAGTATTTATATTGAGTACTTGGCATAAAGAAGTTTCACAAATTGAAACTGAATTTATAATAAATCAAGTTACCCAATATTCTCGTTTGGAATTCTTGTTGACAAGTTAACTTGTAGTGAAGATAAAAATTTCATTATGTATATTATGTTCTGGAACTATAAAAATAAGATGCCATCAGTTGCTATAACCAATCTTGAATATTTACAAAAATGCACTAGTCAATCTATAGCAGATAATGTTTATACTGCCCTATGAATCATGGACTTGATCCAAAGAAATGTCTAACTTGAGTAACAGATAACACTACCTATATATCTAGTAATCAGAAAGATGCAATAGTTCTATTTAATAAAAAAGTAAATATAAATGCAATATGTGGTATGCATATAATGCATATTGTTTTAACATATTTTGAAAAAATATTTGAAAAATTATCTTCATCAATTGGATTTTCAAGAAATCTACTTCCCTTTAATTTATTATACCTTGCATGGCTTTTTCATAATGGAGTAACAGAGGCAATACTCTTAATATGAAGTCTGAATATATTCAAAAATTATATGACAAGCTATTAGGACTTCATTTCTCACAGTATCAATTACCAATTAGAGGATGATGGGGCTATGAATTACGTACTGCTAAACAATATTTGGATCGGCATACAGCACATGTAAAATTTGCAAATTGGTTTATTAGATTACTTAAAAATAATCATAGTATACTATTATTGTATCTTTTAGATTGGCAATTATTCAAAGAATGGCTCCTAAATAAGAAACTAAACATTCAAGTTCAGTATTTAGTTACATTTGAGAAGCATTTTTATAAACTACTAATACAAATTATGGTTAGAAAAAATCCAATATCTTGTATCAAATTAGGTAATAATTTAGTCCAACTTCCATCTAGTCGATACATTTACGAAATGCCTGACAAAGTTAATGAATAGATCAGTTTTTTGAATAATCTTAAAGAAAACTTTGATTCATTTTTTGAAGATGAATTGTTAATAACACTAGAAACCCTAAGTAATGATAAATTTAGTAAGCTCTTTGATAGTTTAGAACAAGGTTTAAATAAAGTATATAAACATTTTTTAAAATAGATATCTTCATAGACACATTTGCTACTATCAATTTGCCTTTGGGTGAA